GAGAGCTCCAGGGAGAGGTGCGAAGCCTCAGACAGGAGTTCGTGTTCAAGGGATGTATGGTAGTGAGTGCCCTGGAGCTTGGGCAGCTGGAGAGGGAGTGGGGCGTGACCGGTGGCGTGGCTGACTGTGTGTCTTCGTGGCATTGGAAGGGGACCCCTGCGGTGAAGGTGGTCTGCCTTTACTGTTAAAGGGCCCTCTGGCTGCTGTGCTGAAGGAGAGCCGGGACAGGAGGAGAAGCAGCGGGACTGGTTAGGAGGCTCAGCCTTGAACAAGGGAAGCGCTGATGGGGCTCAGACCAGGGTGGCAGGAGTGGGATCCATTGAGATTCCTGATATCCATCTTAACGAGACAAGTTCTAAAGAAATCTGAGAAACAGGGCAATGAGGTTTAAAAAAGTAGGACTGAGTATTCTGGAATGTTTGGAACCTATTGAAACAGTTTTTAAAAACTATCCTCAAAGGAATTTTCTTTTTTCCTTTAAGAAAAATCTAACTTAGGAATGACCCTGGATGAGGCACCCTGTGTATGGGTGTTTTGCGAGCAGCCTTGAGAGGAACGAACCAGGCAGAATGTAGGCCCGGGCTGGGGCAGACCATCCCATCTGGGCCATGAGGGCCAGACTGGGGCGGGCAGGGGCCTGGACCTGCATTGCCTCACCCCAGGCAGGAGTCGAGGGCCATGATCTTGACTTCCGTGGCCTGGAGATGCTGAGTAGGGTCCTGTGTGACTGCCTCCCCTTCTAAGGTGTGTGGACTCCAAGCGGCCCCTCCCGGGGAGCAGACGGGTGGGAGGGACCCTTGCCCCACACAGGGGCAAGACTGCAAGGAATCCAGTGGTTCCCGTGTGCTGACCTGGGACTTGAGTCCTAGCAGCTTTCTCCAGGAAATACAGTTTCCCCAGAAAACCAAAAACCTTAAGAGTAGTTCTCAGTGGAAAGCAATACTGTTTTGTTTTGTTTTTTTGATGCTTTGATACAACCACAAGACTTTTTTATAACAATTTATTGAGAAGTAATTCACATACCATACAATTCGCCCATTTAAAATGTACAATTCAGTGGTTTTTAGTATATTCACAGATACGAACAACCATCGCCCCAGTCAATCTTAGCATGTTTGTATTGTCTCAGGAAGAAACCCACCCCCCGTGTCTCTGTAACTGTCATCCCCTAACCCCTCATGTGCCGCACGTTGAAACAATCACCTATCTATTTTCTGTCTATGTGGATTTGCCTGTTCTGGACATTTCCTATAAATGGAAACATATAACGTGTTTTTTTGTGACTGGCTTCCTTCACTTAGCATAATGTTTTCAAAGTTCATCCATGTTGTAGCATGTGTCAGCACTTCATTCCCTTTATGGCTGTAGAATATTTCATTGTATGACTATACCAAATTTTAAAAATCCATTCATAATTTACATTGGTTTATTTGTACCTTTTGGCTGTTATGAATAATGCTGCCATGAATGTTCACGTGCAAGTTTTTGCATGAATGTATTTTCATTTCTCTTGGGTGTGTCCCTAGGAGTGGAAATACTGGTAACTCTGTTTTTAACCATTTGAGAAACCTCTGGACTGTTTAAAGTGGCTGCACCATCTCCTGCCAGCAGTTATGTGAGGGTTCTTATTTCTCCACATCCTCGTCAACACTTGTGTCTGTCTGACTTTTTCATTATAGCTATCCCAGTGGGTGTGAAGTGGAATCTTATTAATCAGAACATTTGCATTTCCCTGATGACGGGTGGTGTTGAGCGTCTTTTCATGTGTTTATTGGCCATCTGTATATTTTCTTTGAAGCAATGTCTATTCAAATCGTTTGCCCAATTTTAAATTGAGTCATTTGTCTTATTATTATTTGTAAGTGTAAATGTTCTTTCTGTACTCTAGATACAAGTCCCTTATCAGATATATGATTTTCAAGTATTGATAGCTTCTCCCATTCTGTGGGTTGTCTTTTTACTTTCTTGATAGTGTCTTTTGAAACATAGGTGTTTTTAGTTTTGATGAAGTCCGTTTTATCCATTTTTTTCTTTTGTGACTCATGCTTTTGGTGTCACATCTAAGATGCGTCACATCTATTGTGTCTTGTACAATTGCCAAATTCGTGTCACATTCATTGTCAAATCTGAAGTCATGAAGATACTCCTGTGTTTTCTTCTAAGAGGTTTATAGTTTTAGCTCTTACCTTTAGGTCTTTGCTCCATTTTGACTTAATTTTTGTATATGGTATGAGGTAAGAGTCCAGTTTCATTCTTTCACTCTGTGGCTCTCCCATTGACCATTTGTTGAAGAGACTATTCTTTTCACATTGAATCATCTTGGCACCCTTGCTGAAAATCAGTTGGCCATAGATATGTAGGATTAGTTCTGGACTCTCGATTCTGTTCCATTGATCTGTATGTCTAGCCTATGCCAGCACCATACTGTCTTGATTTCTGTTTCTTTGTAGTAAGTTTTAAAATAGGAAAGTGGGAGTCTTCCAACTTTGTTCTTCTTTTGCAAGATGGTTGGCTGTTTTGGGTCCTGTGCAATCAGTACCGTATGAACTTCAGGATCACCTTGTCAGTTTCTGTGAAGAAGCCAGCTGTGATTCTGAAAGGGGTTCCATTGAATCTGTAAATTAATTAAGGAGCATTGTCATCTTAACAGTATTGTCTCCTAGTCCCTGGACATGGGATGCTTTCCATTTACTTAGATCTATTTAAATTTCTTTCAGTGATAAAGACCTTTCGTAAGTCTTTTTGAAGGCATCTCGAGTGCTTCTGGACAGCTGATCTTTTCAGAATGCCTCCTCTACCAACTCCCTGCAAGAGCGGGTGCAGAGTTCAAGGTCTCTACCTTGTCTGTGGCATCGATGCAGACTGAGGTGAACAAACCCGAGGAGTTAGATGGAAGGGAATTGGGTTTGGCTTTTGTTTCGACCTTTAAAGGCCCTCCTGCCTCCTGCAAGTCCCAGCCCTCACCAGCCACCCAGACAGATGGCTTCTCATCACTCCATCTTATTGCTACTTCAGAGGTCCTAGGAGTTCTCTTGACTTTGATTTTAACACTGCCTCTTCCCTTTGTCCCTGAAACTATTCCTCTCTTTCTTACAGCTGGGGAGTCATCGTATCTTAGCGTCCCCAACCATCCTGGTTTGCACTTTCGCGTGTGTGAGGGGGGAGTCGCTTCATTTACCGTGTGCATATCCACACACTCAGCACAACTCATAGAAAAGACCACCCTTCCCCATTGCACTGCAGTGTCACTTTTGTTACAGATCAGATGACCGTGTGCGTGGAGTCTGCTTCTGAACTTTATATCCATTAGGTCGTTTGTCTAGTCTCATTCCAGCACCCCACTGTCTGAATTACTGTAGTGTCATAAGAAATCTTCTTTGCACAGTGTTAGGGACTGAATGTTTGTGTTGCCCCCGCCCAATTCATATGTTGAAGCCCTAACCCCCAACGTGATGGTATTTGGAAGAGGGGCCTGAGATTACACTGACTTTATAGATCATTTTAGGGAGAATTGGCATCTTTTCAGTACGTAGTTTTCCAATCCATGAATGTGGTATATGCGTCCATTTATTAAGATTTTCAAAAATTTCTCTCAACAATTTTATGGTTTCCTGTGCAGACACCTTGCATAACTTTGGTAGCTTTCTTTCTAGCTGTTGATATTTTTACAATATTGTAAACTGTTATCATTTTAAAAATTCCAATAACTGTCATTGTTATAGAAATATGGTTGTATATTGACCTTGTATTCATCAGTCTTGCTACATTTCACTTATTAAATTTAATACTTTTTAAGTTCTTTTAGTTTTTTTATAACACTAACTTTAAAATAATTTTTCTCCCTAATTTGGTCAATAATGGTTTGGTTGCAAACAACAGAAATCCCTTCAAGGAAGTTCAAGTAAAAGTGAAGTTAGTATCAGACCCCAAAAGATGCTGGGAAAGCCAGGAGCCAGGGAGTTGAGCTGGGATTCATGGGAATCTCTCCCTGGGGTCCTGTCTCTCTTGACCCTGTGGCCGCAGGCTCCGCCCCCTGTGCACCTCTCCAGTCCTGCACTCTCAGAGGGTGGACCCGCTTCCTGGTCTCTGGTCTCCTGCCACTATGTCAGTCTCAACTCTACTTCCACGTGGCCTTGTGACGCCAGTACCCACAGTACATCCGGCCTCAGTGTCCTAGGACAACTGGATTGTCTCCAAACGAGGTGCCCTTTGCCTCCTTGCCGGCAGCAAGAGGCAGGGTGGTGAGTCGGTAGCACAGGAGTGTTTTCCCCGGGACCCTGCATGTCTGGCAGAAAACTTGGAAAGCCTGCATGTAACGTGAAGCTTTCACCTCCCAAGTATGCCTGCTGTTGCTGTAGTTCTAATATTCTTTCCAAATACATATGTCTTTCCTTCTTGCCTTCTCGCTACATAGGAATTTACAAATTCGAATTATGTATTACAGTATTATATGCTTGCTTTACTTAATTTTATGTCATTACTATTTACCATTTCATTAAATGTACTTCAAAAACATGATCTTAATAGCTTAATAGAATATACAATATTCGATTGTATGGCTATACCATAATTCAATGAACAATTCCTATTTTTAGAATTTTGGGTTCTTTACAGTTTTTTATTTAAATAAATATTACTATGGTGAGCAGTCTTGCACTTAAAGTCTTGTCTAATCTCTGATCATTTCCTTAAGATTGATTCCTGGAAGTGGAATTAGTGGGTCAAAGGATATGAACATTGTTAAGTCTCTTGATACAATGTCAAATTTATTTCTAGAAGGGTTGCACTGGTTTGCTCTTCTTTCTACAACTCTAAGAATGCCCATTTCTCCATCAACAGGATTGAGTATTAGCTTTTAAGAAAAATCTTTTCTAATTTAATAGGTGAAAAAACTTTTTCATCTCACTTTAATTTGATACACAGTTTTAAGAGAGGGTGAGTATGTTTTCCCAGTTTACTGATCACTTGTACTGACTGTGAATTTGCCCATTTTTCTCCAGAATGTCTGTCTACTCTTGCTGATTTGCAAAAGCTCATCGCATACTGAGAAGGTGAACCCTTAGTGGCAGGACCCTTTCTGTCTCCCCTGGTGGCTGCAGCCCCACGCCAGCCTGGGTCCCGCTGGTCCCACAGTTGTGGAAGAAGGCAGTGAAGAGCTTGGTCCCTTGTAGGAGGGAACGTGTCAGGTGAGTGAGCTGTGGTCCATGGCCACCATCAGCACGGCGGTGGGCGTGGTCTGAGGGGCAGGGTGATGCGTGCTGTGCCGGTGTTTGCTTCTGATACTTCGTTTCTGTTCTGCCCAGTGCCTCTGACTGTTGTGGTTCATTCTGACTCTACCACCCAGACCTTCTCCGTTCATCATGTCCTTGTCCTGTCCCCATTGTCATCTGGAAGGGTGACAAGCTTTTACTGAGCCCTGGCTGGGTGTTGGCCAAAGGGCTCAGCCCTTGCAGTCCAGTCCCTCTGGCGCTGCCTCGGTGGCCGCAGCCTGGCCCTTTCCTGTTCCTGCGCCGAGTGAATGGCCCCCCTGCCTGCACTGCATATGCCACGTGGACCCAAGGGGCACCTGGTACACACAGGCGTCCAGTTTCCCCAGCCATGTGGGTCCACCTGTGGACCGTGAGGTGACCTGAGAACAGCAGGGATGAAGCACTCGGGAGCAGCTCTTTGCCGGCCTCCTGTATGTTGCAAAGGCCCCGGGGACACGAGCCTCTGCCCTTGGTTTCGGGTCTGTGAGCCGGTGACATTGGTCGTACCCTGAGCTCCAGTTGATACTGGGCCGGACAGACCAGTTTCCATCTCGCAGCCTGTCCAGGTGGCCTGGCTGAGCCAGGCCCCTCGAGCCCTGGGGCACGTGCCCTCCTGACTTGGCTGGGAGGGAGGTATGGTGGTTCTCCATCCAGATGGCCTCGCTCGCTCTTCCTCTCTCTCTCTCTCTCTCTCTCTCATTAATTCCTGAAGGTCTCTGAAGCCTAAATCAGGGGAAAAAACAGAGGGTTTGGAGACAGGAGACTTTGTTTGGCATCGAGCCCTGGTCCTTCCAGCCTTGTGACCTTGGGCCGGTCACCTGCCCCCTGCAAACTGAAGTGTTGTCACCCGAGAGAGGGGAGCCAGATCCAGCACAGAGTCCCATGGGTCTGCCAAACAGGATCCTGTGACAGGTGTCCCTCGACCCTCCGGTGCCACATGTGGGTGAGGCACAATGCTTATCTGCTATTTGGAAAGGTGTTGGGTATTCTGCTCGCTGAGAAATTGTATTTTAAGAGGCGGTTTCTGAGGAATCTTGAATCAAAAGTGATGTTCACTTCCGTCCTGAAGTAGTGCCTACCCCGATCTTGTCCGGAGCCCCATCCTTCCGACACACCCAAACTAAGTCCCGGATGCTCGGTGGTTCACCGCAGCCTCGACCGGGTGCCCTCGATGTAGAGATAGGAAGGTGAGGAAAGCACGGCCTTGGCTCGTCCTCAGAAGACTCAGAGTCCTTCCAGGGTACAACAGGAGACCCCTGGGAGGCAGCAGCTGTAGAAGCCTCCCTGGGAGAACTCCCAGGGCAGGCTGTGCTCAGGAGTGAACGCTTGGGCTCCGACTGGATGGCCAAGTGGGACTGGCCGCGTTTTCTCTCCACCCCACATCGTAAGCTCTTGGGGTGTAGGGCACACTCCACGTGGCTCCACGTGGGGTGGCACAGAGCAGATCCAGGGCATGGCAGGTACGAACCAAAACTCACTGCAATCCCAAGAGAACGTGTCTCTGTTGGCCGCCCTCAGCGGATCATGACTGCAGACCTAGAAGTCACTGTGGGTTCCACGGAGGATGTCCCCGGGTTAAGCCTCAGCTGGACTCAGAGCTGACAGGCACCTGCTGCTGTCGTGGGTCCACTTTGCCAGACCCGGGCGGTGGGGAGACCGCGTCTGAGTCTGCACGGGGTCCAGAGCCGCTCTGTTTGTCCCCAGGCCGGGGGCTGGGAGCCATGTGCGTGCTGGCTGGCTCCCCAGCCCCAGACCGGCAGCCTCGCTCCCCGTGAAACCCACAGCCCTATACTGGGGATGACAAATGACCAAAAAATCAATTTGTAATCTGATTGGAGGTTTTTGATTTCCTCTGATGAGTTTAAATTTCATTAAAAGCAACCTTATTCCAACATAAAAGGAATCCTTGAAGGGTAAAGCAGGGGATTGTCTCACCGAGTATAAAGCATCCCGACTCTTTTGTGTGATTTATTCATCGCGTTAATTGTGAGGGCCAACCCAGGGTGTCCGTTGGCAGCTGTGCCGTTATCAGGGCCTGGGATCGGCCGGGCGGGCTCAGAGCACAAGGACTCACATTCAAAACTCGCTCTTTGGCATATTGACACTTGAGTTATCAACAACTCTTATTATCTGCTGGGAGGGAGCTGGCAGCTCCTGGGGACAGAAGGAGCCACAAATCCCGCCGCAGCCGCCCCTCTGCATTCTCTTAATTGTGTGTATTCTCTGGAAAAAGTGATCATCGCAGCCTCTTGTCTTGATGAGAAATTGACATTTTCTGAGGACTTCTCTGGGTGCCGGGCGGGGAGATAAGGCCAGGGCTGTTTTGGGGGAGGGCGGGCGCCCCTCCTTTCAGGGGCCTCTTTATTGCCCCCGTTGACCCGCTTGATGAGTATGGATTTCATGAGGTCTTTTTCAGCATTTGAACTATAAAAGGTTCAGAATGACACCACCCCTTGTAGACAAAAGATAACCTTGCCCTTTGAATATATCGATTCTTTATTAACTAGGCTGTTTAATGCAATGAAATGAGGCATTAGATTGAAGCCCATTTCAAGTGCTTTGAATAATCTTTAAAAGCTTGGAAGACCCTGGAAGGTGGCCTGACAATAATTGGCACACATTTGGAGAGAATGCAGTTCTCAATTCGGATTCAAAACACAAACATAAAATAATTTCCCTCCCCGCTGGTCACAGGGCCCAGGCAAGCAGCTCAGAGAGGCAGCCCCTGCCACGCCCCTGAGCAGGCATCGCTGGCACCGGCTCAGAGTGGGGAAGGAGGTGAGGTTGGTCCCCAGCACGCAGGGGAATGGGGGGGGGGGGGGGGGGGGGGGGGGGCGGGGGGGGGGAGGGGCTGGCTGCAGCCTTGTACCCCATGAGCCTCTTTCTTCGCTGTCTCTTTAAGGCTGAAACGAGAATGCAGTCAGAGAAACCTGATTGTCATTGACAGGAGAAAAAGGTATTCACAAGTTTCTTTATGTTTTGGATAATGATTCCCTGTTTTGCTCGGCAGAACAAGTAATTAAGATGACATTTGTGAGTACTAATTTGGATCACACTTATGTGTATGTGTTGGAGAGCTGCAAGCCAAAACATGCAAAACCAGCCTTTCATTGAGGAGCAAATGAAAACTACAGAATGAACCGGAGTGGTGCTGCTGAAAAGGCACAGGAGCTGAGCACAGCTGCAAAAATCAGAGCCCCGTGCTGACGGCACATCTCATTAGAGCCCTGCCGTTGGCCACACCTCCGTGCGGCCCAGGGGCAGGCGCAGTGCATGGGGTCTGTCCCACCACGGCCGTGGACCTGCCGTTGGCGACGGTGTCCCTCAGGTCAGGGTTCAGTGGCACTGGTGTCCGGAGCCCTGGTGCCTGCCCGTCCGACCGGAGCTTTCTGAGCTGGATCTTGTCCCGGTGGAGCACGGTGACAGGGACAGAGGAGCACATGTCTGGAGTAGCCAGAATGCTTGCCCTCTACCTGCCAGTCCTCCAGTTCAGAGGCAGGGGCTGAGGCAGGAGGGCCTGGAGCAGGGGCAGGGGTGACCAAGCCCCCAGCGAGTCTCAAGACTGTCTATGGGCCACAGTGCTGCTGCTGTGGCCCCCAGGTCTGACCCACAGTCGTGTTCCGATGTGCCAGCAGGCGTGCAACACACGTACAGGTGGCCCCTCTGGGGACCAGAGGCATCTGAGTAACTACAAGGAACTCTCCGTGCAGCTTAGATGAGCGTTTGAGGGCAGATAACCTTGGAGAAGGTTCTTCTATGAACTGTTTTCATCCTGGCCAAGAGAGCTCTGGGAGTGCAGATCAACCCCACCCACCCGGCCAATGTAACTGTTGCGTGTTGAGCAAAGCCATTTTAGTAATCAAAACAGATCAAATTACCCAAAGTGAAATTCACAGACAAGAAATACTTTAATTAAATATTGTGTAAAATGAACATTTTTATACAGTTAAATATCTGAAAAAATGTACAGATAAAACAATCTTATTGTAGGGTTTTTAACAGTAAAATCTACCATTTAGTGGAGCGCTCAGTTTTGAGACGATGAAGCCATGAGGGCGACTAATTAATCTAAAACACAAACCAAGTGCAGGGACAAGGAGACTTGCGAATGTCCTTAACGTGTACACGTGAGCTCATTTTTAGGTCAAACCCTTACTTATACAAAATAAAACGGAGGCAACAGAGTTCCAGAGTGACTCCTCAGGCTGGTCGCAGGGCCAGAGTGTGACCCGCTAACCCCTGGGGTCGTTCTGATCCTTTGATTTAGTCCCTTGAATGGACACTTTCTTAAGTCCTGCATTGTTTTGTTTTGGTTTCTGTCAAGAAAAACTTTAAAAGTCCCTCCTTTTTGTTTTAGATTTGATTTCTGCTGCAGTTTGCAAACCGTTTGCTGTGCTGTGTCTGCAAAGGGAAAAAAGAAACGACCCTCTTGGTCTCACGGCAGGTTTGGCACTAACAGGTACAGTGTCTGAAGGAGGTCATTATCCAGTTTAAAAAGTACAGACAGTGCTGCTGGGTTCTGACCACAAAAAACGTATTGTTAAAAAAGAATTTTAAACGAGGGGTGATTGTGGGTCCCCTGAAACCTCTCTGAATCGGAGGTGGGCTTGGGAGGACACAGCAGAACCAGATGCAGAAAGGAGCGACACAGGGGTCTCCGGGCTTGTGCGTGTGCGTGTGCGTGTTTTACGCCGTAAATCTCCACGTGAAATACTGAGTAACAGTTGTGGGGTAAGCCTGTGATCAAACAGCACAAAGGTTCTTTAAAGAAGTCCACTTTTAAGGCATCAGAGAAGTTAATGTGGCAGACATTTTCATTAAAACATCAGAAGTAAATTTTATTTTAAACTTTAGGCCTCTGAATTTTTCCAGTAAACACAGTTCAGCTATGTGGCAAAGTCATGGGTGGCAGCTAAAATGACTTTTTACATTCTACAAAAAAAGTAAAACAAAAGGAGGACACAGCCCCAAACGGTGTCGCCTCTTCGTGGCCGCTCCACATGCACGGAATCTACGAGGGTTTGTCACAGCGGGTGGCCCCGTTTTGTTGTGACTATACAACGAACTTTTTTTTTTCTTCAAAAGTATTTGTTCAGATAACTTAAAAATAATATAAAAATAAACAATGAATTTGACTTTTCCTCAAAAAAAAAAAACAAAAAAAAGGACGGAAAGTCTAAACAAACAATAGCAAATTTTGGAAGTACAAATGAAATGCAAGGATGTTGGTTCACTGAACGAAACAGATCAAACAGTTCTTGGCTTTCATGCTCTTCCCCAGCATCACAACACCAGGCCATGATCAAAAACCAACGCAGACAAGAAAAAGGAACCGAAAATGGTGGGGAAAGCAGTGTACGAAATTTCAAAGATAAATACAATATTTATAATTGATATGTTACAAAATAAAGTCCCTTAGCAACAGCAAGTGTTCATGGAAAAGTAAGTAAGTGTTGAATGGAGACCATTTTATTCCTCATAAGACGCATAAGGAATAAAACTCGTTTTTTTTTTCTAAATATTTAAGTGGATCTGAAAAAAATTCAAGACAAGTGTATAAATATTTAGCTACAACTTTGGCAAAATCACAAAAGTCTACAATTTTATAACCACATACAAAACACATCAGGGAAGAAGGATCTAGAAGTCAAAAGGACAATTTCTGGTACAAGAAACATGGACCTCACAGTAGCCTAAGAATGCAATAGTATACAGTGCTAGCAAAAGTTGAAAAAAATGTCGCAGATCACACTTGCTTAACAGGAAGCTCTAGCAGTGGGAGAATATTTTAACCAACAGACAGTAGCATTTTTTTTTTCCTCTGTCAGTGTGCTTGTTGAAGGCAAGAGAATTCAATATCAAAGTTACAATTTCTAACTACAATAAGTTACAAAGTTCCATTTCATTAAGATGAAGTTAAGCAACGATAAACCCTCCCTCCCCCCCTGCCACCCCAATTCTCCTACTCATACAGTCTTCCTTTCTTCCAGTTTGATGGCTCAGACCTCCTTGGCCCCCTTTTGTCACCACAAAAAAATATTTCACATTATAGAGACACACAACCATTGTGAATCTAAGTATGAGCACAGAAAAATGTTTGGAGGCGTCTTCATCAGTGTTTCACGATCATCAAAATGGCGCATTCACAAAGTTTCTCCCAACACATAGCAAGTACTAGACATAGCCAAGACGGAGTCAGAAACTTTATACAAAATAGGCATCGCTTTGTTCTCCTTATTCTTCAGGACTGAGAAATGTGAAAATATGAGAAAAGTTCAGTCAATAAAATGGAATTGTTCATGAAGAAGTACGTCGTTTGTGTGTTGATTCTTAATAGTTTAAATAAAATCTTTAAACAAAGTCTTTTGTAGCATTTCAACCGCTGCTGATGTACTGAAGACACGGTCTCCATCAGCACCTCTTATGTACTAACATGTCCCCTGAAGTCCGTCCTTGGATGCTGGGCGCGGCGGGAGGTAACAAGCGCCCCTCACATTGGCGGGACTACCAGCCCAGACATAGCTGAAAGAGAGAGGGGGCAGGTCAGGGGCACCTCTCACCGGGGTGGGGCACTGGGGGGGGCCCTCCCTGGGCTTCGGTTAGCAGTGACAGTGGGTCTGCACAATCCTCCATTAACCAGCCGTGGGCTCGGTTAAGGCACCTACTTCAGGGGGTGTGGGGTGCTCGTGGGGGACAGGTCCCTGGGGTCCTCGCCTCAACGACCTCACGTGGCAAAGGGAAAGGCTCTGGCCTTTCCGGGTGTGAAAGGGCCGCTGCCCACACACGTCAGTGGCTGGCTTATAGCAGACGGAGGCCCAGCCCCCCCCCCCCGCCCCGGAGGCCACCTCCGTCGACAGATGCCGAACCAACCCGGTCGCTTCTGTGACGCCAGCCAAGGCCAGCTCTCGGGCCGCTGGGACCCGGGCACAGCTCTCGCTCCCTAAGTCAGTCAAACTGGACACACCTCGGGTTCCCCTCTGCTCTCAGCCCCTGCCTTGGACCTTCCGCTGATCGTTCTGTATCGTAATGGTGAGTCGCGGACCTGCCAAGATCAAAGCCACTCACAGCCCACCTGGTTGCAATCTCAGGGCCAAGGGCCCTCAAGAGACACAAGTCACGGCTCCACCGTAGGGAGCGCGTCCTTCCTCTTCTTGGAGGGAAAGAGAAACTTGGGCCAAGATGCCAAGTGCAGCAGGTGCTTCCCAGTGAACCCTGGGTACAGATGTCATCTAAAATCTTGTAACTTTAGTGTTGTTCAATTTTTGTCAGAGTGATCATTCTCATTAATTTATGTATAACATATTAATACATCTGTTCACGTAGTGATGGGAGCTTCAATTTCTCAGTTCATTAATTTCAGCGCTATAAATTTATCTCCGACTCACCGTTACAACTTTATGGCTTGGAAGACCTGTGTGTGTACACACGGCTTACGTGGCGCCACCTCTCAATGGGCCCTGGCACCGAGTGGACGGCGGGCAGGGCCGTGGCACCCGGCCACCTGCCTCTTAAGCACCTGTGGTCTGGTGACCGCTGCTGGCTTGCAGGCCAGTCGGCGGCCCTTCGGGGCTGGGCGTCCCTCTCACGCTAACAGGTGTTGTGCAGACAATTATTTCAAATCACGGATACCTTTCCAGTTCCTTTTTTGAGCATTAGTTCATCAAAGTGAAATATGCCACCGACTTCACAAAAGGGCCAGTTTGTCTTCTCCACGGTAGCGTCCTCAGCACCCAGCAGAGAGCCTGGCACATAGTAGGCGCTCAGTAAATACTGGTTGAATGGATTCATTTTTTTAAAGGAGTAACTGGATTTGGTTTTCACCGGGAGGAGCATATACCAAAGGTGGTGTCTGAAAGAGGCCAGATGACGGCCACTTAATTCATTTCAGAGCCTGTGGGCCTCAGTCAGTCACCGAGAGCCACGTGCAAGCTCACGGGGCCTAGGGGCCCTCACGCAGCCCCGCCTGCCACTCGCACCACCGGCCACTGCCCAGAGGGCCCCAGCACTGGGCGGGCGCTGGGTGCCCGCTCCGCGCGGCCCCATCTGCGGGCAGCTGTGCCAGGCGGGGCCTCCCGCTGCCCTTGGGCGGGACCTTCTCCCTCTCGCGTCTTTGAAGGACATCTCCTGGAAAACCAACTCCCGTGCAGCACTGGTGCACGCACGGCCCCGGGTCTAGGTGCACGTGCCCTTCCGAGGACAACACAGCCTCGTGCGCCCCGTGGTCCGTTAGACCAGGTTGAGAATAAAGGCTCAGGCTCGGGACAGTGAGAACGGGCCAGTTTCGAGGTGGGCGCTGCAGGCGGCACCATGACCCACCACCCCAGGCCTGAGGCCGTCCCACTGCCTTGTGAGTCAGGGGAGCGACAGGCTTGCACCTGCCCACGCTCTCGGCTGATCGGGACGCAACCTGGGCCCCGCTGCCTTCACCACGGCCCGTTTTCCTTCCCTTGCAGGTTCCACTCCCTGCAGGTATGGGCCGCTTTACCGTGAGGACACTTAAGTCATGTTGGAAGGATGAGGAAACGGGTTTCATCCACCAAGAGGAAGAATCCGGTTGTGGGGACTGAACGAGGTGGGGTGGGTCGTTTCCAGGAGCCCCGGGTTGGGGGGTGGGTGTCGCACTGCGGCAGACGAAGGAGAACGTGCAACAGCCAGGGCCGCCCTGCCGGCAGCCCGCGGGTGGGCCCGGGGGAAGGTCGGAGCTCCCGCCCCCCAGGGAGGGCCCCTCACTCCAGCCCTACGGCCCAGCCTGGCCTGCCCCGGGGCCCTCCGGGCGCTCCCAGGCCACGGCCTCAGGCCAGCGCGCACCCTCACCTTGCAGTCCGTTCCCGTTGGCGCTGGTGCAGGAAGGAGGAGGGGAGGCTTGGGGCCGGACCACGGGCGCGAAGGCGCTCTTTTGTTTCACTGCAGAGATGACATTGGCAGGTGAGAATGAGAAAATGCCGTGTGTACTGCTACAGTTTGAAGGGAGGGTGACCGAAGAGGCTGCCATGGTAGGGCTGGACGGCACTACTGCAACAAAGCAAACATGGTCAGGACGCGCGACGCCGGGCACGGCCACACGACAAAGAGAGCTCCAGGGCCTCGCCTGGAGCGTCGGGCCAACAGAGCAAGCACGAGATGTTTCTGGCTTGGCCACTCTCTGGATAACAGGCAAACTCTCGCGTTGGACTTTTCGTTTCCAATTGGGCGGCCCCATTTGGTGCCGATTTTGTTTGGGTTTCCAATGTGACCGCGTGGGGCCCGTTTTAGGTCAATTTACTGTCGTCACGTGGACGCCCAGCCTCCAGAGCCACCCTTCCTTTTATCCAGTAGCTCACACCACAGAACATCCAAGCAACGCACACATTTGACTTTGCAGCGAATATGAATCTGTGTGATGACGGGTGACAAAAACAGACACTTACTGCCGTAGGGAGAGTTAGCGGAGGAGCCATTAAGAAATCCAGGCGAGCCCGGGACCCCTAGATTGGCCATGGCGCCACTTCCATATCCATTCATGCTAGTGCTGACTGTGCTGTAATTGGACTGCTGGGGAGTACTGCTGGGGACGTATCCTCGCGGGGACACGCTGCTTGTATTGCGACTGTAGCCGACTGCTAAAATCCCCCCCCGGCCAAAAATAACATTATTATCAGGGAGAGACACTTGGGGGGGGGGTTTCCCCGCAAACCTCTATCATCTATTGAACGCTTTTAATTGACCGTATGCTTTCCTCCAGCCCCAGCGCCTCTCGCCAGCTCAAATAACCTTGTCACGCCAGCCCTGCTCGAGCATCCTCGCCGAGCCCCGTCCTGTCTCCGGCGGCCTCGGCAGCCGGCCCAAGCGCACTTCGATCTAACCGTCAGCGGCTTTCACGTTCCTCTTTAGAAGCAATTATCAACGGCGCGATTCCTGGGCCGTCCCCCCGCACTAGGTGAGCTTTCGGCCTCTGCAGACCTTCAAATGCCACAGCTGACAAGGAGAGCTGTTTGTGGCCGTAAGTCCCCAGGAAAGGCTGTTCTGGGGCCTTCATGTCTACGGCTGCTATTTCTGTCGGCGTGGGGAGGGGAAGCAGGAGCCTCGCTCCCGCCGTGGGGTGAGGGTGAACGGAAGCCGAGCGGCGTACGGGGAGGCGTTTTCTGAGATCACGGCCTGCACGGGCTTTAGAGCGGCCGGAAAAGGATAAGGTGCGGGTGGGGAGCCGGCGCTTCTCTCCGTGTGCTCCTTCCAGTCTCAGAAACCAAATCCCACCCCCGACCCCCGTGCAGCGCATCCAGGAAGGGTCCGCGGCTCCCTACGTCACAGCTATCCTAGGGCTTATCCCAGCCTTTCCAGGAAAGCAAAGCCCCTTAGGAATCAGTTCAAGGAATCGGCTAGCAAATACCAGCAATGCCGTGTGGCAGCCACCGTGGCCGCTGCCTCAGCTTCCTGGGTTCTCTGAGCATGCTCTGCCCGAGGGCCTCTCCGAACAAAGCTGCAGAGCCCAAGGCGCTGCCCACGTCCCCGCGGCCTCAGGGCACAGTCAGCCGCGG